AAAACGAAGTCAAAAAATAAAACTAAAAATATACGCTTATAGAGCGCAAAAAAACCTACAACCCCATATTTTTTGTTTTTTTTTTGGCCTATTATTCTAGGAATTAAAAATGTCGGGGTTTTCCGACTGCGGCCCTCGCCCGCAGCCGACCTCGGCGGTCGGGATCCCGACCGCGGGCCGAGATTGACCCCGCGGTCATGACCGCAGGGGACTCGTAGACGAGAGGCCTTCGACTGTCAATTTCGTATTTGGGGTCCAGGCAGTTGTGACGCGCCAGTTGGTTGAGGGAAAACATAGGCCGAGCAGCAAAGACCTTCCACGGCCTTCCGGGCCTTTCCGAAGATGCCGGCCCTGGAGAAGAATTGCAGCCTCATACACAGATAGTTGGGAGACCCAACTAAACGAGGCCCAGTAGCTGCAACAGAGGCGCAGCCACCTGGGGCCTACCGGAAACTTCTGGGCCGAGGCCCAGGGCAGTCAGGCTCTTTCCATATAGGAAAGAGCTCGTTGCCTGGAAGGGCATTCAACACTTGCATGTTGGCGGCAGCGCTGCTGGAGTGGACGCTCGTGGGCTGCTGCTGGCGCTGAGAGGCAAGGTGCTAGCGCGTGTGGTCGTGCAGGGAGCAGGGCGCTGCGCAGGGCAGCACCATAACCTAGCCTTCATAGCTGGATGGGCTTGGACTATAGTGAGGCGCAGGGGTGGTCTTCTGGTGTACAGAGGGAAGACGTGGGAGTAAGTCAGGGGAGAGAGAAAAGGATGATGATGATGGCGATGTGAGGGCACATACCTGGTATTGGCGATGGTCTGCATTGGGCGACATCTTCAAGTACTTCGTGGGCTACCGACGTTAATAGTTGCATTGTCAATTAGTAGGCAGACTGTAGCTGTGCAGGAAGTAGGCTGGGCACCGAGCGCCAAGTAGGGAGATAGGGCCTGGATACTCATGTTGGTGGTGGCGAGAGCAAGCTCTCATTGACATTGGTTTTCACCGTTACGATTCTTCATTGGTGCTATATTGGTGCACTTCTGCTTTTTGGACACTATGATACTATCCGGCCTTCAATGTGATTGTGCATTCTGGATATTGTCATCTCACTACTGCTCATTTTCCTTGCAATTTGGTATTGGAGCTGGTTCGAACTGCGCTTCATTGACTCTTCGCAATAGCTGTTTGGTGCTTCGCATGAGGTGTGGGGCAGTAATAAGGCTTGGGCGTTGAGTGATAGGCGGCCTAGGGTGATGGTCCTGAGTGCTGGCCACACCGAGGTAGGATAGTAGGGACAGGGGATGCGCTGGGAGTATTAACATGGGGATGGGTAGGGTAGGTGGCCTATCCTGTCAGGACAACCATTGGCTGCTGTTTCCGGCAATCACCGCGGGTCTGGTTCTTGGCCTCTACAACATACTGGGCTTAAAAAAAAAAAAAAAAAAAAAGCTTGAGGCGCAGTTCTCTTCCTCCTCGGCAAAATGAGGCTCGGGGGTAGTGGTGCTGTGAAAAAAAAAAGAAAAAAGAAAAAAAGAAAGAAAATGGGCCCAATGCGGTTTGTTTCTTGGCCCGCCGGGGGAATCAACATAAATTGATGCAGAGAAGAAGATTAGCATGGCCCCTGCACAAGGATGACCGACTTCAATCGAGAAATGGTCCCCCCCAAAAAAAAAGCTAAAGGTGAGAATCGTAAGATCTTGTACCACAGAACCATATTCAAGGAACACA